GGGAGCTGCAGGAGCAGCTGCCTCTGGGCTGGGTTTCAACAACCGAGCCACCCGGACCTGGGGCACACAAAACCAGCACGAGCTGTTTTCATTTCCAGAAGGAGAAAAATCAAATGACTGCCCCAGAGATTGATTTTTCACCCAGTTCCCTGTCAGTATTTCAACTGGAATTCTCCTAAAATTCCCGTGGTCTTGGCTACTCTTGCACTACAATCCACGTGGAGGTACACACCCCAAAATATTTGTTTTTCAAACCAGGGCGCTCCAAGGCCTCGGCCCAACTCAACCCAACCACCTAATTTGCCATTTGGACGCTCCGGTTTTTAAAGATCTTTCCGGCCGACGCGACGCTGAGCCGAGAAACATGTGACAGCAGGACCTGGATGGAACCACAGCTGAGAGCAAAGCTGTGTTTGAGTAGAAACAGAGGCGATCTGGGGTCGGGCCTGACAGAGGCGGGACGTTCCAGCACCGGCCGCGGCCGGGACTTACCGCGGCGCCGGCACCGTCCGTGCCGCCCGCCTGACTCTGCTCCTCGGGCCCGCGGGTGACGAGAATCCTGAAGCGCTGCTGCCTCGCCTTCTGCTCGGGTCTGATTTGAAACAAGCAGCCCTGCCCTGGAGGAATCCGCTCCACCGAGTCGCCGCCCGATATTTCTGACTTTCCGGGCGGCTCCGAGCCCAGCCCGTCAGCCGGGGGGTCGATCCCTTCTGCTGGTGGTTGGACGGGGTGGGAAGTGCTCCTTTCCAGCCGGATCCGAGGGTACCTGACCAATCTGTCCCCCTTCGTCCCGGTAAAGCCCAAGTTACAGGCGCCCCCGGCGCCCGCCCCGCTCGTCTGCGGCTGCTGCAACTGGAGAACAAAGAGCTTCTTCGCCGGATTCGCCGACGGCTCCGGCACGTGCTGCAAGGACCAGCGCCGGGGCTCGGCGTTCTTTGGAGCCTCGGGAGCCAAGGGAAGCAGAGTCACCTGAGGCACATCAGCACTGGAAGCCCGATGCCGGATCCTCACCCCGCCGACGTCGAGACCCGGCGGCGGCGCCTCCTCGCTCGGCTTGTTGGGGGGAACGGCGCAAAACGCTCGGCGGTTGCGGCAAACCGTTCCATTTGCCCGCTGGCCCGAGCTTTTGGGAGCCCGGTGGTTCTCCGGAGGGGCGGCGCAGCAGCTCTCGCCGAGGGCTGAGGGTCGGCGGG